ATATATATATCTGATTGTGAAGATCATCTACGTGAACAGAACTTAAAAAATGTTGAATACAAAAAGAAGATGAAATATTAATAACTATCAATGGTACGCTTTGGAATTATCATTTCTTTTTCGTTTTGAAATATTAATAAAATCATTTTTCGTTTTGACTTGAAAAAAAAGGAGAGAAGACGAAGAGTAGGAGGACCATCGTTAAATTGATGATATGTAAATTTTAGGAGAACAAAAATGATGCGATTATATGGCTTTATGTTATATTTTGATTGGTCATTAAAATCTGAGTTTTTTGTTGATGTGGCAACTCCAAAATGCTTAAAAGTGCTGAGGTATCCTCTTTTGGAGTTGGAGAGACACTTGTGTTATTATAGTATTGATTTTTGTTTGTTGTTGTGCTGAACCGCCGACACTATTGAGACGGGTGCGCGTATAAGTCATGAAACGAAAATCCAATTCCCACAAACAAAAAGGACCAAAACATTTTATACAGCTGAAAATGATGCATGTTACTTCTTACTTGGTAAATACAGTAAAAAGTAAGACCAATTGCTTCTTCATACACGAACACCATGAGACTATGTTGAGAGTCTAACAATAACCGAAGCTCCCATACAAAATCTCTCTTAAAACTGCTTCTTCATATAACAATAGATCTTTGTGACTTTCTTTCGTAATGCAAGATTTATGGTGTAAAGCTAACATGAGAACATTGTTAGAAGAATATAGTAAAAGAGCAAAAAGACAATTCATGTTTAAGCATTAGTTACTTATTACCAAACAATAATTCTACTAGGAAATATCAAATATGCATAGTGATAGAGCGTTTTACAGGATATTTATTGTCTCTTGCAATGAGTGGCATTTTAACCTTTTCATGTCATTTTTCTGTCTTTCATGAGATTTGCTTTTATTCGAAAGGAAAAGTACTCAGATATTCGTAACTGGATCCAGGTTTCAAATTTCACAGCTGGCAAGAAACTGAAATGTAACACCAAAATATCACAACTTTCCCATAACCCAATGTTTGATCATGATCACATTTTGTCTTTAGACGATTCCATTATCAATAATAATCATCACATCTACTTCCAAACTGCCACTAATAATCCAACAAACTCAAACTAATTGGCTTACTCTCATCTTAAGCTCAAATGTCAATAATTGATCAATCCATATAAAATTTATGTGTTTTACATTACAGAAACAACATATGACTCAAATTACTCGACTCAAATCTCACATTTGTTTTTCTTCTTCCAAAAGATAAATAAAATCCGTAAAAAATACATTAAAAACAACAACAACAAAAACTCAGTTAATCGCATCGCACCTTCGCCGGATTTCTCCCCGTCGACCAGTCTTAACACCGTAGAGACTCAACTTCTGCATAGCTCCAGCAAAATCTTTAAAAAACCGATCTTGATCTTTCGCATAAAGATCAACAAAAGGTCGGGTTCTCGGGTCAGAATACAACCCATGATCCGATTCAAGTAACCCAAGACCTTTCGGTAAATTCTGATAATACATATTATCGAATTTATTCGGAGTCATAATATCGTTAAAGACAGAGAGAGTCGGATCTTTCGGGTAATTAGAACAAGCTTTCTTCAACGCATCTGCAAATCTCGGGTTATACCCGGAATCCTGACGGGTGACCCGACCCGCAAACTCTTTACAATGTGAGAATCCGATTGAGTGAGCTCCACTAAGAGCGACCATTTCTTGAACAGAGAATCTTCTCGCTTCGAATTGTTGAATGAGTTTTGAGATCGGAGAAGAAGGAAGAGGAAGTACATCTGCGGAGATTAGAGACGAATTCGAGGTTCGCGAGTCACGGCGACCGAGGTAAACAGAGTAGTAAGGAGCACCGACAGTGACTAAGAGGTCACGTGTCGCGACGGAGATGATGTCGGAACAAGAGACTGTGTTCGGACAAGCGAGCTCGAGTGCTGTTTTAGCTCGGACGATGACGTCGAATCCGTCTCCTGGGAGAGAGAGGTTGATTGAGGCGTCGCGTTCTGCTTTGTTGAAGGGGGTGGAGGAGATTAGTACGGAGGCGTCGCAGCCGTTGGGGAAACAGTCGTGGAAAAAGAGACGGAGTAAGGCGGCTGCGGTGGTTGGTGTTGTGATTTGTTTGTTTGTGATTGTGTCGCGGATTATGTCGTGGAATCTAGGGCATGATTTTGAGTAGAAATCTGTGGTTAAGCGAGATTCGGATATGGAGGTGAGTAGAGTGAAGAAGAGGAAGAAGAGGAGAGAGAGGGATTTAAGTGGCGATTGTTTCGCCATTCTTGT